AAAAAAAAATGTTTGAATAAATCAAATTAATCTCAAAGATATTTACATTTTTTGCAAAATATTTTTATGGAATAAGTAAATTCTTTTATTTAAAGGCACGAATTTGTTTTGTTTAACATTAAAATTTGTATGAATTGTTAACTAATACTGTAAACAATAATATGTGTAGTTTTTATTTTGGCTGTTAATTTGTGCTGAAAATCCCGTAAATTCAAGGAATCTAGCTTTAATGAGGAAAAAAAGTTTGGTAGTTTGCAAACTGATTTGGTAGGCGTTTTGGTGCCTAATAATATTTTCAAGTGGCAACACTGGCTACAACTATGATATTAATTAATTGAAGTAAATGAGCGATATGTATGTACGTATGTAAACATAAAAGTTTGATCTCTGTGTCAACATAATTGCGGCCCTGAAAAGGATCTTTTGTTGATTGGCATATATGTATGTATGAAAAGGGCATAAATAAATCATATAGTCAGAGTTTTTTGGCTTTTCCTTTTCTTTTGTGGGCATTTTCAAAGAGTTCTTTATTTAATTTTCGTATTTTAAAGAACACTCTTGCCCTGAAAAATAATTTTGTTCACTTTAATGTCGCATTGAATTTTTGCAGTATGCTCAATGTGATTTTTTACAAAATCATTTGTAATAAGCAGGGAACGGATTTTTAGGACCTAAAAACCTATAAAAAAGACAAAATAAAATAACGAAATAGGCTGGAAAAAGCAAAATAAAATAGCGAAAAAGGCAGGAAAAGGCACTAGGTATTGCAAAAAAGGCAAAACAAAATAGCGGAAAAGGCAGGAAAAGGCACTAGGTATTGCAAAAAAGGCAAAATAAATCACTAAAAAAAGACAGAAAATACGAAGACCAATCAAAAAATACATTTATTTTAGAAATGTTTATATTACAAGTAAAAAGAGAAAAACTATGAACTACACCTTTTCCAACTGTATTTCCGAGAAACCTAAATGGGTTTCAGAAAACCACAAATTTATTTCAGAAAAGCTCAAATGTGTTTCAGGAAAGCGTAAATGTGTTTCAGAAAAACTCAGATGTGTTTCAGAAAACCGCAAATGTATTTCAGATATTCAATATGCCTTTCAGAAAAACACAAACCCATTTCAGAAAAGCTGAATTTTATTTCAGAAAACCGCAAATGTATTTCATAAAACCACAAATCTTTTTCAGAAAAGCTCAAATGTGTTTCAGGAAAGCGTAAATGTGTTTCACAAAATCAAAAAATGTATTTCAGAAAAACTTAAATGTATTACAGAAAAACACAAATGTATTTCAGAAATCCATAAAAGTATATACTTTAGAAAATGCAATTACTAATGTATGTAGTATGCATGGAGATAAACTTAAAAAAAAACTAATATTTTATATAATACGCAGTTAATATTCAATAGTAATTTTATGCGGTAACGAGTAATAAATTTATTAAACGGAATTAAAGGATAATTGCACGATTTGCATGATGGACATGCGCAGAAAACCAGTCGTGCGTTTGCTTCCATGTGGACATTTATTGCACGCAAAATGTAGTGGACCTGTCATTGTAGAAGAAAAGTGTCCAATATGTCGAGGAGATATTGAAGGTAAGTACTCGTACATATAATAACATATACATCCAAATAAATAAATAGCATTTTATATTTACCTATTTATGCATATAAACAAATTTTTGTGTGCAGATAACGAGGTTCTGGAAAAAAACTCGTTACAGGAAATATAACAACGTGGACAGATTGCGGATTGTTGAGGCCGCTAATAAGGGAGCAGACTGGTGCAGTTTAGCATCATCTTTAGATATAGTTTATAAAACTGCTAACATGGTATTGAAGGTAAGTACTCGTACATATAATAACATATACATCCAAATAAATAAATAGCATTTTATATTTACCTATTTATGCATACAAAAAAAATTTTGTGTGCAGATAACGAGGTTCTGGAAAAAACTCGTTACAGGAAATATAACAACGTGGACAGATTGCGGATTGTTAAGGCCGCTAATAAAGGAGAAGACTGGTGCAGTTTAGCATCATCTTTAGATATAGTTTATAAAACTGCTTACACATCGGTGCAATCCGGCAGAGTCGTGACTCAAAAACGAGGTGGAGGGAATGAAAAGAAGCTGACTGAAAATGTGGTAGCTGTAATGGTTCGTTGGGTGGAAGAAGACTGTACTGTCACCTTAAAGCAGCTAGTCTCCAAAGTGCAAATGGAGTTTAACAAACATATTTGCACATCGACCGCTGCAAACTACTTAGAGGGTAAATTATTCACCCTCAAAAGCGTGCACCATATACCAGCGACGATGAACACGTTGGAAAACAAGCGGAAACGTTCCGAATTTGTAACAGCTTTGAGTGGTTTTATTCAGCAAGGAAAGCAAATAGCTTACATTGATGAAACCAATTTTAACTTGTTTTGTCGTCTTGCAAAAGGTCGCGCACGATCTCGGACGCGAGCAGCAGTACTACTGCCGCCATCAAGAGGACCAAATGTACATTTAATCGGTGCTGTAAGCGTAGCGGGTGTGTTATCGATGGAAACGCGACGCGGCTCTTTTAAAAAAGAGAGTGCTGGAGAGTGAGTGAAGGGAATTCTCGAGAAGTGGACCGGTTTGGGAAATAATTTGGCGGACTTAGTTATTGTGTGCGACAATGCACCTTGCCATGCTGGACTGGAGCAAGTTGTCGCCAATAATGGATCGGCTACACTTTGCGTCTTGGGCCATACTCGCCAATGCTCAACCCCATCGAAAACGTATGGACGAAAACAAAAGCTTACGTAAAAACGCATATTTCACTACCCGCTGTGAATGGACCTGGAGTGGTCGAAAGGCATTTGCAGTACTTGGAAGGCGTAATTCACGAAGCAAAAGAAACCATTGCTACTGCGGATTGTGCTCGCGCTATACAACACTCATTTTTCTCGGATGCTTTGGCATTACGCGACATGCCTGTAGGAATGCAATTCTTTTACTTANGTGCGACTATGCACCTTGCCATGCTGGACTGGAGCAAGTTGCCGCCAATAATGGATCGGCTACACTTTTGCGTCTTGGGCCATACTCGCCAATGCTCAACCCCATCGAAAACGTATGGGCGAAAACAAAAGCTTACGTAAAAACGCATATTTCACTTCCCGCTGTGAATGGACCTGGAGTGGTCGAAAGGCGTTTGCAGTACTTGGAAGGCTTAATTCACGAAGCAAAAGAAACCATTGCTACTGTGGATTGTGCTCGCGCTATAAAACACTCATCCATTTTTTCTCTGATGCTTTGGCATTACGCGACATGCCTGTAGGAATGTAATTCTTTTACTTATTTTTTAATAAATTCGCACACTCACAAGTACGGTTTGGTCGTTGCTTATATAATTCTCACTTAATTGGGAAGACGATGGGGATAAAAATTTTGGGAACATACATACATTTGTATTTTTCTGAAATACATTTGTGATTTTCTGAAACACATTTCAATTTTTCTGAAATACATTTCCGCTTTTCTGAAATAGATTTGTGGTGTTCTGAAATACATTTGTGGTTTTCTGAAACAAACTTGAGCTTTTCCGAATTAGGTTTTCGTTTTTCTGAAAGCCATATTGAATATCTAAAATACATTTGCTGTTTTCTGAAACACATTTGAGTTCTTCTGAAACACATTTGCGTTTTTCTGAAAGGAATATTGAATATCTGAAATACATTTACGCTTTTCTGAAACACATTTGAGTTTTTCTGAAATAGATTTGTGGTTTTCTGATATACATTTGCGTTTCTCTGAAATACAGTTGGAAAAGGTATAGGTTCATTATATGAAAAATTTGTACTTTGAATCCTTTGACTATTTTATCCTTTCGAGTTTCTAACTCATAAAACTTTAATCTGTATAGTTGTAGTAACATTGAACCACAAGATGCATTTTGAAGTTTTCTGGCAGCATTTTCATTCGATTTTCGCGAAGAAAAGCCTTGAATGTACTAAATGTGCGCTCGACGCAAGTTGATACAAGTGAAGCCCAATTTAAATATGGAACGTTTGAAATGTTCGTATTATCAGGAATAAGGTCGTTTCCCTCGCCCTTTGCAACTTTATCCACACCCCTTATTGTCTCCAAGCCTACGCTAGCTGAGAAAACGGCTTTCAATTTTTCTATAAGCGGCATGGGCATGTGTATATTAGGTATTCTTTAAAAAAAAATTGTAAATGCTATAATCACTTTTTTAAAGGTAGAAAAGGCAAAAAAAGGCGAATATCTTAAAAAAGGCAACATCAAATGTGTATACATATATGGAATCAGGGAAAGCTAAATCGTGGACATTCTTAATCGAATATACTCTATCTCTTTAGCAGAAAAAAGGCAATTTCCATAAATTCCGTTCCCTGGTAATAAGCAAGCCGTCTTCGTTCAATGCCTTAAACACTGACTCAAGACTTCGCATATGGACCATTATAGAGGAGCCTCGTTGGGTCGTTGGTCGTCATTGCTCCTAAACGACGTGCTGGAAATGTCGTCCTGCAACTTGTGGCAAATATATCCCGCTAAATTCTCGAGTCTGTCTTACTCTAAATCCTCGAATTCCGCTTCTTCAACCGGCCACAGTTCTGCTTTAGAACTTAAGTTCTTCAGCAAAATACCTGAAAATATGGCAAAGTATATATGTGTAATTATTATTAATACAATATATTTTTATATTTAAGCTGGATGAAATAGATAAACAATTATTTTAAATTACTTGCAAGCAGAGGCTGCGTGATTTCTATGTCTGGCGTATCATCCTCTTCTACATTAGGATAATACGCCCCTGTTGTGTCCTAGCAGGTATAGTAAGTACGTAAGTTGTGTCCTAGCAGGTAAGTCCTCCTGTTGATCAGGATGATCATGAAACCCGTAAGCAAGACACCGCTTCCTGGAGTCGACGTAATGAACCCTAACATTTTGAACATCAACCCAGTCATGTGTCTAAGGAGTATAATTTGAACGTGAGTTTTAATATTGAGGTTTAAATATATAGTTACCTTAATTCACAAAGGCCCTAAACAACTTTTTTTTTATTTTACAGGAGAAGCAAAAAGCATTATAAAAATAGTATCAATTTGTGAATTAAGACAACGATATGTAATATAGTAAAATACTGTGGTTGTTCACGCCCGCCTGGTTATCGTGTTATCTGGTTATGTGGTTATATTTTTTATACAGTTTACAACAATAAAATTTTGAAGCATTCGGTCCAGTTTTGGTTCTGCAAATAACCCAGACTTGCTGCCCTTGTTATGGCCTGCGCCACAGTATGCGGAAATCGTTTCGCTGCCGTCTTGATCTTTTGGCGGTGAGCTCCAGCCACGGTCAAGTTACTTGCAGAAATCTTGTGAGTTATTGTCAAGTCCGTGCTTGTAATTGACAATAACTCCAAAATTATTTCCTTTTTCACAGGTTTCCCATTAATTAGGAAACCTTGATCAAGGAAATGATTTCGAAAAAGTTTTAGCAAGTGCGGCACGTCAGCGAAAACGTAAATCCCTTGGTCATTGAAAATAATTCTATGGAAATGAGAAGTACTGTAAGAACTGAATTCAATAAGTTTTATTGTGATTATTTACCACGGCTGGTTTTCAGTTACGCCTAGGTCATTAAAGAGTGAGCTGACCAACCGTCCTCCTTTGAGGAGGATTGTCCTCCCAACGTCAGCGAAAACGTAAATCCCTTGGTCATTGAAAATAAACCTATGGAAATGAGAAGTACTGTAAGAACTGTATTCAATAAGTTTTATTGTGATTATTTACCACGGCTGGTTTTCAGTTACGCCTAGGTCATTAAAGAGTAAGCTGACCAACCGTCCTCCTTTGAGGAGGATTGTCCTCCTCAAACGTGATTTGTCCTCCTCAAAAATATTGTCCTTCTCTATCCCCCTTATGAGCAAAAATGTCCTCCTTGTCCTCCTTTTCAAGTTTTATAGCAGTAATGAAATTTTCAAAAAATTTCGTTCAGAATATTATTATTTTCTAATCGTACACATTCATTGTATTTAATAAGCGTTTACATTGTTCAAGTTTCAGTTAAATGATGTAAACTTTTGATTCAACTAATCGCCTGTGAAAGTTGAACAGTGTAACCGCCTTTTAGCCTTCCTCAGTAATATTTTACCCTCTACAACATTGAAAGATTAGTTAACGACGCGTCTCCACAGGCGGAAATTATTGCCTGCCGTATGTCATTTTGTTTGCCAGAAACATATGTATATATAAGTTTTATCAATGGCAAAATTTGTGTATGGGAATTTTTTATCTTGATAAAAGATTTTGTAAGATGACATAAAATAAGTATGTTCGTTGCATTGGAGCGCAATTCTGCTTAAAATATTTTAGACAATGTGTTATTTCAAATCCAAGTATATAATCAAAAATAGCACAGGTTTTCCCCTTAAAAAGCTAATTAGCTATTTGGGTATGTATAGGTATCACGCTACCAAAAATGTAATACAAATTTCGTCACGAAAATTTTTCAAGAAATTTTTTTTTATAATTCTTCTTAGCATTTCCGAGCATTACTAGCGTTAACTTTGAAATAACATAAGTCCTTCTGATTTACTTAGGCTCTTTATGAGTATTATTACTAATACTATTGGTTTTAAAGTAAAAATTCTATTCTAAGTTAATTAACTTTTAGCTTTTCATGGAAATTGCTAAAAATTCTATCATGTAAGTACATGTCATCAGTAAAAATAAATCTCGACGTGCTGGAAAATGACTAGGGATGTATTTTAATTTAACATATCTACATTACGGCTGCCATAATCCTGTACCCATCGACTAAGACACTTATCATCCAAATCAAAAAAGAAGATACAAGTGGATATGGTGCCAATATATTCCTTGCAACAATGTTGCCATTTTTCATCAGTACGGCAGTAATGCCGCTTTTATTACGTGCCTCGAACAGGCCCTGATTTATGATGATGGAACGCTCAAGTTCAGAATTTTTAATTATAAAAGAACAAATTTATCTTGACGGTGACGTAACTTGGAAAAAACGGCGCCTTTAACGTGGTCTTGAATGTTTGCCTAACTACTATTAGCGAATTTCCGCATATCCTATAACGCACTTTATGATAATTTTTGCCAATTTTTATATGCATAACCTGCAGATAATTTAGGTAGGCTGTCTTAAGTGAAGCCATTCTAAAAGACTCACCCAACAAGGACTGAAAAAAGTGCTTCACTGCATGCTTCCTAGAAAGGTGTTTCCTATTTACAATTTACGCGAATATACTTAAGTATATGTTATATTACTTAGCATTACAAATAAGATTCAATAGGCGTTGCAAGTCTAAATACAACTATTAGATATGAACCTTAAATGAATTCCTTAAAGATGTATGATTTTTATAACTTAAGAAACACTTTCAAAGAACTTCTTCAAACGGCGTCCTACAAAAGCCCTTCTGAAAGCTCTTTTTTGAGTAGCGAAAGCGGAAGCCCTTCAATTTGTGCCGCTCCATACAAAAAATTAAGGAGACAGGAATAACTTTCAGAAAGGCCTTTTGGATAAGATTTTAGCTCCTGATATTATCTACTGGGAAGTATTTAAGTATGTATGAGACCTCAGTTAAATAAGATTTTAACTAAATAAACTAAACAGAAAGAAGATATTCAACATGTTAGAAAAAACGGTTTGTTATCAGTTTTCGACTACTAATGACAGAAGACGTACCCTTTTTTCATAGCAAAAATCTGCTAAAAATTAGAGGAGTGCCTGCATTGGTCTTCATTAAAAAATCAGGACAATTTAAGTGTGGATCAGGACACCAGAACAATTTGTCTAAATCAGGACAAATCCTGTAAAACCAGGACAGGTTAGGCAGCCCTAACCTAGATATTAAAAAATAAAATAATTATTGGAACGGGGAAAAATTAGATTTCGCAGGCGTGTTTAATCCAATACAAGCAGTGTTGGCACTAATCGATTGATTTTTTAATCAATTAGTTAATTCGGTTAAATTTCATCCGATTACAGTTAATCATGATTAATTGTAATCTGATTAAACAGTTAATCGTAACCGCGATTAAAAAAAAATAAGATTTTTTAAATATAAACCCTTAATTTGATTAAGTAGGTTTGGTGATAAATTAATTTACGCTGGAATTTTCCTATGCACACAAAGCCAATTAATCGGGTATGGCTAGTCGGGTTT